GCACATGGAACTTTCTCCAGGATAGATCACATACTGGGTCACAAATAAGGTCTCAACTGATAACATAAGATTTGGGTATCTTATTTTCAGACCACAAGCTTTGAAACGAACTCAACCACAGGAAAAATTTGGAAGGAACTCAAACACTTGGAGGTTAAAGAGCATCCTACTGAAGAATGAATGGGTCGACCAGGAAATAAAAGAAGTACTTAAACAATTCATGCAAGCCAATGAAAATGAAAACACATTGGTTAAAAACCTATGGGATACTGCAAAGGCAGTCCTTAGAGGGAAGTACATAGCAGTCCAAGCTGCCCTCAGAAAATTAGAAAAATCCCAAATGCACAAGCTAGCCTTATACCTAAAGGACCCAGAGAAAGAACATCAAATATAGCCTAAAGCAAGCAGCAGAAGAGAAATAATAAAGATTAGAGCAGGAATCAATGAAATAGAAACTAGAAGAAAGTAGAACAGATCAACGAAACTAGAAGCTGGTTCTTTGAAAGAATTAATAAGATCGATAAACCTCTACCAGACCTATCCAAAAAAAAGAGAAAGGACCCAAATTAATAAAATCATGGTGAAAGGGGAGAAATCACAACTAATGCCAAGGAAATAGAGACAGTTATTAGAACTTATTTCCAGCAGCTATATGCCAAGAAACTAGGCAGTCTGGAAGAAATGGATGTATTCCAGGATACTTATAAACTACCAAGACGGAAACAGGAAGAAATAGACAATCTGAACAGACCAATAACCAGCAAGGAAATTGAAGCAGTCATCAAAAACCTGCCAAAAAACAAGAGTCCAGGGCCAGATGGCTTCCCAGGGGAATTTTAAAGAAGAAATCATCCCTATTTTCCTGAAGGTGTTCCAATAAATAGAAATAGAAGGAAAACTTCCAAACTTGTTCTGTGAGGCCAGCATTACTCTGAGGTCCCAAACCAAAGACCCCATCAAAAAGTAGAATTACAGACCAATATCCCTGATGAACATGGATGCCAAAATACTCAACAAGAGCCTAGCCAGTAGGATCCAACAGTACATTAAAAGGATTATTCACCATGACCAGGTGGGATTTATTCCTGGGATGCAAGGGTGGTTCAACATTCACAAATCAATCAATGAGATACAGCACATTAACAAAAGAAGAGACAAGAACCATATGATCTCAATTGATGCAGGAAAAGCATTTGACAAAATACAGCATCCTTTCCTGATTAAAACTCTTCAAAATGTAGGGATAGAGGGAACATACCTCAATATCATAACAGCCATCTATGAGAAGCCCACAGCAAATATCATTCAGTGGGGAAAAACAGAACTTTTCCCCTAAAGTCAGGAACACGACAGGAATGCCCACTCTCACCACTTCTGTTCAACATAGTACTAGAAGTCCTAGCCTCCACAATCAAACAACAAAAAGAAATAAAAGGCATTCAAATCAGCAAAGAAGTCAAACTCTCTTCGCAGATGACATGATACTTTATGTGGAAAACCAAAAGACTCCCCCTCCCATAATTGCTTAACTCATACAGCAATTCAGCAACATGGCAGAAAACAAAATCACTGCACAGAAACCAGTTGCTTTTCTATACACTAACAATGTGACTGAAGAAAGAGAAATTAAGGAATTGATCCCATTTACAGTAGCACCAAAACCCATAAGATACCGAGGAATAAACCTAACCAAGGAGGTAAAGGATCTATACTCTAGAAACTACAGAACAGTTACGAAAGAAATTGAGGAAGACACAAAGAGCTGGAAAAGCATCCCATGCTCATGGATTGGAAGAATAAACATTGTTAAAATGTCTGTGCTGCGCAGAGCAATCTACACATTCAGTGCAATTCCTATCAAAATACCATCAGCAGTTTTCACAGAGCTGGAACAAACAATCCTAAAATTTGTATGGAAGTAAAAAAGATCCCGAATCGCCAGGGGAATATTGAAAAAGAAAACCAAAACTGGGGGCATCAGAATGCATCAGTTCAAGCTATATTACAAAGCTGTGATCATCAAGCAGCATTATATTGGCACAAAAACAGGCACATAGATCAATGGAACACGATAGAGAGCCCAGAAATGGACCCTCAACTCTATGGTCAACTAATCCTCAACAAAGCAGGAAAGAATGTCCAATGGAAAAAAGACAGCCTCTTCAACAACTGGTGTTGGGAAAATTGGACAGCCACATGCAGAAGAATGAAACTGGACCATTCTCTTACACCACACACAAAGATAAACTCAAAATGGATGAAAGACTTAAATGTGAGACAGGAATCCATCAAAATCCTAGAGGAGAACATAGGCAATAACCTCTTTGATGTTGGCCACAGTGACTTCTTTCCTTTTTTTTTTTTTTTTAATTTATTTATTTGTCAGAGAGAGAGAGAGCACAAGCAGGGAGAGCAGCAGGCAGAGGAGGCAGAGGGAGAAGCAGGCTCCTTGCTAAGCAAGGAGCCTGATGTGGGACTCGATTCCAGGACCCTAGGTTCATGATCTGAGCTGAAGGCAGATGCTTAGCCAACTGAGCCACCCAGGTATCCCCACAGCAACTTCTTTCAAGACACATCTCCAAAAGCATGGGAAACAAAAGCAAAAATGAACTTTTGGGACTTCATCAGGATAAAAAGCTTCTGCACAGAAAAGCAAACAGTCAATAAAACAAAGAGGCAACCCACGGAATGGGAGAAGATATTTGCAAATGACATTACAGATAAAGGGCTGGTATCCAAGATCTATAAAGAATTCTCAAACTCAACCCCCCAAAAACAAATAATCCAGTCAAGAAATGGGCAGAAGACATGAACAGACACTTCTCCAAAGAAGACATCCAAGTGGTCAACAGACACATGAAAAACTGCTCCACATCACTTGCCATCAGGGAAATACAAATCAAAACCACAATGAGATACCTACCACCTTACACCAGTTAGAATGGCCAAAATTAACAAGACAGGGAACAACAAATGTTGGCAAGGATCTGGAGAAAGGGGAACCCTCTTACACTGTTGGTGGGAATGCAAGCTAGTACAGCCACTCTGGAAAACAATATGGAGGTTCCTCAAGATGTTAAAAATAGAGCTACCCAATGACTGAACAATTGCACTACTACATATTTACCCCAAAGATACAGATGTAGTGAAAAGAAGGGGCACCTGCACCCAATGTTCAAAGCAGCAGTGTCCACAATAGCCAAATAGTGGAAGGATCCAAGATGTCCTTCAACGGATGAATGGATAAAGAAGATGTGGTATGTATGTACAATGGAATATTACTCAGCCATCAGAAAGGATGAATACCCACCATTTACATCGGCATTGATGTATTTCGCATGTAGTGAAATAAGTCAAGCAGAGAAGAACATATCATTTGGTTTCACTCATATGTGGAACATAAGGAATAGCACAGAGGACCACAGGGGAAGGGAGGGAAAACTGAATGGAACGAAATCAGAGGGAGACAAACCATGAGAGACTTTGGACTCCGTGAAACAAACTGAGGGTTGCAGAAGGGAGGGGAGTCGGCAATGGGGTAACTGGGTGATCGGTATTAAGCAGGGCATGTGTGGTGATGAACACTGGGTGTTATATGCAATTGATGAATCGTTGAACACTACGTCAAAATCTAATGGTGTACTAAATGTTGGCTAAGCGAACATAATAAAATGCAATTCAAATGAAAAATAAGTATACTGGCTTCTGAGTATGCGAAGAATAAAAGAGTGGGATTTTGGTTTGTTTGGTTGTATTTTTGTTGTTATATATTTTTACCCTTTTAGCACATCTCAGAATTCCTCATTTTTCTTTTTTCAAATTTAAGGTCTGTATTTTTGTGGGTGAGGGAGGGTGTATTTTGATCCTTTTGTTTTCTGTTGGTCAGTCTTTCTGCACTCATGTACCATAGTTTCGGTTACATATTTCCAAATATAGCAGGGTTTGAGAAATGGATAGAATATTAGACATTTAGACCCCTAAAGAGTCTAGGATGTGTAAGTCTCTTCACCTAAGTATTGGTGTCATTATGTTTGATGTACTGTCAGCTGCCTCTTTCCCATAATAAGTGAGCTTTAAATAGACAACTTAAGGACCTGACCTTTGCAGTTCAGTTGTGAGATTTTTCTCTTTCTTGTCCTGAGCTCTAACTGCTCCTAACAGAGGAGGTAGAATCAGGGCACAAAAATATAAGAACAAGATAACCTTGACTTTTCTATATTATTTTAAAGGGGATTTGAAAGCAGTTTAACATTTGAAATTTGAACATGATTCAATGCTATTACAAATAAAGTATAATTTTGGGTTGTCAGTATACACAAATAAATGTGTGTATTTATGAATAGGTATGACTTATTCACATATACAGTATCTCTGTAAAATATATACATGCAAATACCTTCCAGTTTTTTAACTACAGAAACTTATTTTCAGAATAACTAGTTTTCTAGTTAAAATAAGGGCAAAGTAGTCCCATTTACCCACTTACACTAATGTTTAGAAAACTCGACATGATTAATATTTTCGGAAGCAATCTCCTAAAAGCCCAGTTTAGAAAACTATTAAATAAAGCACAGTCATCTCAAATGGGTCTGTGACTTGGGAACTCCTCCCCCAACCATTTAAACTTGTTAAATAATTGCATTCTGCTACTAGAGAATTGGATGGTTATTATCCATTCCATATTAACATTTACTTGAATGCTTACTATATGCCAGAGATTGCTGTACATTTCACATGTATCATTTCTCTTGTTTGTTACAGAAACTATGGATAAAATAGTAGTGCCACTTTACATTAAACTAAGGTTTGGAGAGGTAAAAAAAAAAAAAGTTTTGCCCAAGATCATGTGGCAAATGAGTAATGGCACCTGAATTTGAAGTTCAAAGTCTGCTTTTTAATTTAACCATTATCACTAAGTCGAGGACTGAAATCTTCCTCTTTATTGTTTAACTGTACCTGGACCAAAGAAGCTGCTAACTCTGTTAGTTAATTCTTATCAGGAAGAAGAGTACAGCACCAGCTGTGAAGATAACAGCAACAAAAACAAATGAAAGGACCAAGATATACTGGAGAAGACTTGGAAGAAGGAGACCAGAGTTTGCACTTGACTCCGTTTTTAGCTTATATATCACTTTCTTAGGAAAGCCTTTCCCTACCACATCCTATTCCTTATTCGTCTGTGTTAGAACACTGAACTCATTGTTGTAATTACCATATTGCAATGATTCGAAGGTGCACATATTTTTCATTTTAACATTTCTAAAGTTTGGATGCATCTTATAATTGATATCTTAAAATTAGTTGGTAGCATTTCTCAATTATTAGTACAAAAATAAGGATGTGATTTATGGTTGATGGCATCTTAGATTTGATGAAATACAATATTTACATGTGTTCCCATGAAAAGGTTTATGTCATTCCAACAGTTTTAAATACCAGGTATACACAGTATTTTCCAATTTCTAGTCTAGTCCTCTTTTAAGCTCCAGACTTGCATGTTGAACTAAATTTTCCTTTGATACCCCAGGGATCACCAATTCAATATGTCTACTTTCCGAAAAAACTTGTCTTTTAGCATTCCCCCAATCTCAGTAAATGGAATCTACGTTCGTACATTCATGAAGCTAAAAAGCTACCAGTTTGACTGCCAGGGTGTGAATCCCACTTCCACCCTATACTAGTTATATAAGCACATGGAGATGTGTGTTGCCTTTATTCTTCATCTGTAAAATGGGGAGCATAATAACACCTATCTCTGAGAGATTTTAGGAGATTAAAACAAGGAGTAAATGTTAGCTGCCACTAATCTTCATGATACATATCTGTGACCTCTCTCCTTAACTCTGTACATGTAATTCATCTTCAGATCCTGTGAGAGGTGGGCCCTTCAAAATATTTCTGTCCACTTGTATCTCATTGCTGCTTCTCCACTCCAAGCCCTCATTTTTCTCACCTATAGTAACTAATAGCTTCTACTCTTTCTCATCTCTAATCTATTCAATACAAAGATCAGTCAACCATCTTTTAAATCAGATCATACAGCTTCTTAAAACCCACAATTCTTAATATGGTGTGTATTGTTCTCAGTTGTCTGCCTAGCCTCTGCTTGCTTTTTCAGCCTCATCTTAGGCCGCTCTACCTCACAGTGTCACTCATTTCTCCCAAATGAACTCCCACTCATCCTTTACTTTTCGTCTTAGCTGCCACTGCCTCAAAGACATGTTCTGATCTTCCAAACTAAAGTAGGTACTTCAGCCCTAATGTGTGATCTTTTGTATTGAATTTATACCTTTCATATTTGGGGTGAAGATAAGGAAGTTGAGTGATTTCCCCAAGGCTTGCAATGCTAATTATGGTAGAACTAGAATACCAGCCCAGGACTGGCCAACTCTAAACTCTTATTTCCATGGTCCTTCCTTTGCTTCCTTGAGAGCAGAAGATAGCATATGAATCAATGTGCCAGGCTTCCACATGCGGCCTGACTTCTCTCCTCTCTTTCCATTTAACCTTCAGGTAGGTTGTTCTTTCAATATCCATTTCTTTGTGAGCCATCTCTCCTAAATTAGATTGTAAACCTTTGAAGTTGTTCTTCATCTATTTTTATGATATAGTATAACATTTTTATAGTAGTTCTTATATATACCTAGCACATATAAATTACCTTGCACACAGTAGATACTGATTAAATATTTTTGTCTTAGGGATATTAGAGAAAAATAATATTTTAATCCATTTAATTTTTTTCAAGGTTTGGAGATATCTCATGAAGGAATTTAGTACCTGCCATACTCGTCTACCAATCAGTAACAGTACATTTTCTGTTTTTATATTTTGAATAGAACTACCTAAAATTATTTTAAAGTAAACAGTTTTTGTCTTCAGAGATTATTATGATTGTTTCACTAGAAAAACAATTAACCTTAAGTATTTTTGCTTTGCTTCAGGAATTAAGTGATCTACAACGCGACCCACCTGCTCATTGTTCAGCTGGACCCGTGGGAGATGACTGTAAGCTTTGCTTTCCTGCTAGGATTTTGCTACCATTAATAATATAGGTTTGGGGGCACCTGGGTGGCTCAGTCGTTAAGTGTCTGCCTTCGGCTCAGGTCATGATCCCAGGGTTCTGGGATCGAGTCCCACATCGGGCTCCCTGCTCGGCGGGAAGCCTGCTTCTCTCTCTCCCACTCCCCCTGCTTGTGTTCCCTCTCTCACTGTGTCTCTCTGTCAAATAAATAAATAAAATCTTTAAAAAAAAAAAAAATAATAATATAGGTTTGAACATTTGTTAATGACTCCAAAACTCCTTTGTTTGTTTCAGTGTTCCACTGGCAAGCAACTATTATGGGACCTGTAAGTATGATTCATATATGTGAAATTAATTCCCTCAGCCATACTTCATTTTTGCCATTTCACCTTTGATGAGATGTGTGCGGCTAAGGTTGAGTTTCCTTGTACTCTGAATCACTCAGGAAGCAAAATACAATTAAAGGATTTTTGATGATTTTCTGGAGCACTGGTGGCAAATACTTGTTAGGATCACTGTGATGTTTTCCTTTGCCAATTCCTTGATCATTACACATAGTCATGGATCACCCACAATTTGCAACCAGGCTGTAAGTTATACATTTGCTTTATCTGCTTTTAAACACAAAAGTCATTTGTTCAGAACTAAGCATAATTATTCTCACATCAACAATTTTAGTGGAAAAAAACAATTTTAGTAGGTTAGAAATGAGTCTAATTAACTCAGTAATGGAATACCTGCAAGTTAACAAGCACCAGTTTGCAAAAACTGTCTTCTCCGTTCCTATGTGTGAGAGAGAACTGGTGAGATAATTGCAACAAATCTATATTTGCCAACTCGTGAATTTGTTGTTTTTAGTTTTGTTGTATTGTACTGAACTCAAAATTACCTGCTATTTTATGACTGGCTTTACTTAACACTTACTACCCTTGTTAAGATTATTTCTTTCTATACCTAAGGCAGTTATGACTTGAAACAGACTTTTCTTTCTGTGCACAAAATCTGATTGCATAAGAATGGGCATTGACTACTTTCTGGGTGAGAATATATATACTAGTAACCTGCTTCCATGAACATCATTCTCTCCTCCCTCCCCTGAAAGAATTTTATGTAGTAAGACATAGAGGTTTTAATCATATTGCCTTGTGTTTCACTTTTAAGAACAACAATTACTGAATTTTCAGAGCAGGAGTCCTGGGCAAATGTCTCAAATTACTAAACTGTTATATTAAGTTAGTTTTTTTAAGGGTAAAATGCAATATATTTATTTAAATAACAACTTTAAGAATGTAGTTATTTGTTTTTCATTGCTTACTAAGAACCTTCAGAATACTATTACTTAAAGGCCCACCCTTACCATTTGATTTATAACCCTTCACAGATATTTCTTAGGTGAATCACAGTAGCAAATGGTTACAATTATGTTACTCATACCTCCTTTATTTTAGTAATGCAAACATGTCACTCTATAATATCATTTGAATTTACTTATATTTTCTACATTCCTTATGAGTTTTGATGAACTAGAATTAAACTATATATAGTAAGAGTAATTATACAGTACAGTCCTCTAATGTATATGCAGAAACTTGAGGAAGTAATGATAGTCTTGCTATTATTACCAAAGTGGTAATATAACATGATAAATTTAATTAAATATTAAGGAGGGGCACCTGGTGGCTCAGTCAGTTAAGTGTCTAACTTTGGCTTAGGTCATGATCTCAGGGTCCTGGGATTGAGCCCTATGTCCGGCTCCCCGCTCAAGTGGGGAGTCTGCTTGTCCCTCTGCCCCTCCCCCTGTTCATGCTCTCTTTCTCAAATACATAAATAAATAAATTATATATATATACATATATATAGGAATATATATGTGTGTATATATATAAAGGAATGAAAATAGAATTTTAGGTATTTTGCTACCTTTTTTCTTTATCATTTTTTCTTGCTTGTAACATTAAATATATTTTCTAACTGCCGTAAAGAAACATGGCCAAATTTCAGGGCGCCTGGGTGGTTCAGTCATTAAGCAACTGCTTTCAGCTCAGGTCATGATCCCAGGATGCTAGGATTGAGCCCCGCATGGGGCTCCCTTCTCAGCGGGAAGCCTGCTTCTCCCTCTCCCACTCTCCCTGCATGTGTTCCCTTTCTCACTGTGTCTCTGTCAGATAAATAAAATCTTAAAAAAAAAAATAGAAACCTGGCCAAATTTAAATTCCTTTTGTAAAGTTTGTTCCTAATTTGGTTCAATGAATATTGAATTTATCTAGTTTTATTTTGAACTTTTTTGCATTTTCCACATTATATTATAAACTGTTTTTAAGTGAAGATTGGAGGTCTGAATTGTGTGTCACATAGCCTTTCCTTTTTATAACTTGGTCTTTTTAGTTCATCTCTATTCTTGCCCCATAAGGACCATCAGGGCGCCTGGGTGGCTCAGTCGGTTAAGCGTGGGACTCCTGATTTCAGCTCAGGTCCTGATCTCAGGGTCATAGGATCAAGCCCCATGTCAGTTTCCCCGCTCAGTGGGGAGTCTGCTCAGGATTCTCTTTCCCCCTCTGCCCTTACCCCTGCTTGTACTCTCTCTTAAAATAAATAAATCTTAAAAAAAAAAAAAGACCATCAGATCTTAAGTTTTATAAATAAGGTAAATAGATACTAGCCCGAACCCTTTTCCCCATACTGATTACTGCTGCAGAAAATTCTTCTTTTCTCAAAGCAATCTTGTGTGTATACCAGTCTATAAAACTCTAGACTCATAAAAAGATCTGTTTGTGTAAGTCACACCACTGTGTGTGTCCTATTTTTGTGTTTAACTTTGATGTCGTCATGATTGTTGGAGACTCTTCCTTCATACCTGCAAAGGGAAACCTGTTTTCAAGGTAAATGATTTGAACTTAGGACAGAATGATGGCATTTTTTTTTTTTTCAAATCTATTTGGGGGAAAATCATCTTAGGTTATTAAATACAGTAATCACTGATGTAAAATATTTGTAATTTCAGCCTGATAGCGCCTATCAAGGTGGAGTCTTCTTTCTCACTGTACATTTTCCGACAGACTATCCTTTTAAGCCACCAAAGGTATTTTCATTTTTATGATTGATGTGACTCTTCGTCAGGGATTTTACTCTCTACCCCAAGATATGTACATGACATCAAAGACTGTGGGTAGATTAGCATCTTCAAACTATTCTGTAAAATCACTGAATTTAAAATATGCTTTCTTACTCAAATATTGGACTGTATCTGTAACACAAAAGGCAGTATCTGTTATACTATATATTAGCTTCCTTACCTTTTTCCCCTCTCCTCATTAGATATATGTAGTTTGGGAAATTTTTTATGGTCAAGAATCAGACTTTTCTATTCAGGGGATTGATTATCTTTGAAAGTTGACCCTATTTCTCAGTTCTTAAGTTGTTATTCAACAAAAATTTATTGAGCACCTCCAGTGTTCTGTTACATTGGGGAATACAAAAATAAATATGACCCAGTCCCTTTATTAAGTGTGGTAGGAAAAATAAAAATGTGTTCTTATACATTAAATTTAGACTGGATCTGAAGAGGAAATAAATGATGGTGACATCAATGAGGGAAAAGTTTATTAACAAATTCTGCCACTCAGAATAATTATTTTAGATTTTTAAAAACACCTGATTAACATATATATGAAACAATATAACAACAACTCTTGTGGAAGATTAGAATTCTTGGCAGATTCCTTAGGATAGGTAACAGGCTGAGGCACCTCAACTTTCCTCTGGAACAGGGTTGGCACCCTGTTTTTAGATCCAGTGTCACTTGCAGGTATCAATGATAATAAAATTAAGAAAAGGATTATTTTGAGGGATCATGAAAGCCATAATTAATTCGGGTACTACTCAGCCAGTCATACCAGCAATTACAGATTTATTAATTCTAAAATACTTCTCAGCTCCTACTGAGGGGCAAGGGGAAACTGACTTTATTTGCTTTCACACTCCCAGTAGCTAAAAGTATGTGTGCACAAAGTAGATGCTCAATTTGTTGTTGAATGCATTTCTCTTCTAAGGTCATATAAAATTGAGGACATTTTACTCTAGAGCAAATTGGTTCTGTTTTGTTCATAGTTCATGGGTTGTCATATTTTCGTTTTGTTTTTAGATTGCTTTCACAACAAAAATTTACCATCCAAACATAAACAGTAATGGAAGTATTTGTCTTGATATCCTGAGGTCACAATGGTCACCAGCTCTGACTGTATCAAAAGGTAATTTCATTTATCAGATTTATAACTGTTGATAACAGTGAGACAAGAAAAATATAGCAGAAGTATCTAGGGACCAAAGTTTAAAAAAAAAAAACCATTCTACTGTGTTTTCTCCTGCTTTGATTTTGCTTGCTTTCATAGCTCTTCTGTTGCTCTTTTGCTTTTATCAGTTAGCTTGGCGCAGTTCACGGGCAAATCTTAATGATAAAATGAGACAAACTTTAAATACGTTAGAGCTAGAAATTTGGATGAGCCTGTTGACATTTTACCCCTTTAGTTTGGGCTTTAAAAGAGAAACAGAGTAAAAATAAGATTTTAGGACCAGTTGTCACATTTATTAAATGGGATTGTTGATGTAATGAGTAAAGCTTTACATCTCTTACTTCATCTAAGAAGAAATGCCAGATTAGGCTGATAAATGATTTAAAATGAAAGACACATTTCACACTTCGGAATTATACAGTACATTTAGCATGTTAGTCTAAACTTTGAATAACCGATAGCATTATTATGACTGATAACATAATCCATGTGGATTCTCAGCTTTAACAGTTACATACCTTTTTCTTGCTAAATTATCAGATGTGACATAGACCTTCTGAAGCCTTTTTGTTACTAGCCAATACTATTTGCTGTGCCAGCCCTCTTAATTCATGTCGTGTTTCTCTAGCAGAAGAGAACCTGACCATTGGAAAATACTGTTTGAGTTCGAAGCTTCTGCCCCTGAAGTAATTTGGTGGTTTGCCCTTTTTATAAAATTTAAGAAAATTATTTCTCTTGAAGGATTCAGGGGATGAATGAATCTATGCTCATTAAAAAGAATCTTTTTAATAAATGCTACCTGAATGTTTAACTTATTTTTAAAAGTGATTAGATTTATAGGAAGCAGGGTCCACAGTGATAATTATTTCAAATATTAGATAAATAGTAGCCCTTCCTGTCAGCTAGTTATTATGAATGGCAGTTTTCTGACCTAAAATGTTTGTATAAAACATTCATGTCGATTCTAGTGTCTTTTAAAAAATCACGTAGTGTTACTGTTATGCACTAGATGCAAGAAAGTTTTTGTGTCACAAGGTTATTCAAATTAATATACTCTTTCCTGGAATGGTACCACAAAATGAAAGAAATGGCAGACTACCAGATGTTGAGCACTAATTTTCTAACATTGGTAGCTTTTTATAAATATTAGTATTCTTGTCTTCCGGAAACTGCCCTTGAAGAATTTCATGTAGCCTCAGTGTCCTCATATGTGAAATGGGGATTATAAGAGTATTACCACATAAGGTCACTATGCATCTGGCACATAGAAGGCACTCAAACGAATGTTAACTCATTATTACCTTTCTCTTTATCTTAAAACATCTGATTTGTGTACATGATAGTGAAATCAGAGCACATGGCTCTTGGCAGCAGGAGTGGGAAATGAGGAACTTCCCTCTTGCTTATTTTATAAGGTAGCTTATACTTTGCTTATTTGTACATTTTTCACTTTTTTATATTTCAAAAGTCTTATTTTGCTTTTTATCATGAGTTTAGTCTAGAAACTCTGGAGATGTGAGCCCAGATAATCTGCCCTATTGGTTTAATATAAAAGGCTTACAATTTCAGTAGGCAGGTGGAAAATAAGGAAGATGAATAAAATACTAATTTTTCTCAATAGCCCTTAGCAACCCCCTTTCTGTGTCATTTAAGAAATTAACCGTGCTTTATAAATTCACTTGTGGATTTGTAAGAGTAGGAAAAGATAAAGGAACATAGTAGAGGAAAGTGAAGATGAAATGTTCTTCCAAAGATTCCTCATACCTCCTCAGAAGTGGTGGCATGCTTTTGTCTGTCATAACAGACAAATCAGGAACCAGAGTCCTTGTTCCTTACTTTTTGATACTTAGATTGTTTTTAAAGCTGTAGCTATTTGAATTAGTATTTTGATGTGGCAAGAAAGAACTACTTTTTCAATTTTCACTTATATTTTAAAACATACAGGTTATGTATTGATAACTGTTCACATTATTTTTAAGTGAGTGTGATACAAATAATGGACATGGAATAAAAGATTCTTTGAAAAAAATCTGACAAATCGTTCTTCTTTGTAGGCAAACTGTAGCACTAAAGCCAAAGTAAAAAATGTGCATAAACAGGAGTCCAAAATGGTTTGGACTGTTAACTGCAATTTGTTTGCTTTATTTTGAATTGATTAGAACATAGATTTTCTGCATTAAAATAAAATAAAAAATGGACAGTTCCCTCATTAAAGTACAAAAGTATCTTTAAGAAATATCTAGGGACGCCTGGGTGGCTCAGTCAGTTAGGCGTCTGTCTTTGGCTCAGGTTATGATCCCAGGGTCCTGAGATCGAGTCCCCGTCATTGGGCTCCTTGCTCAGCAGGGAGCCTGCCACTCCCCCTGCTTGTGCACTCTCTCTCTCTGATAAATAAATGAAATCTTAAAAAAAAAAAAAAGAAATATCTAAAGTTAGGATGCTGTTCTAAAAATATTTTGATTAGGTACCATATTTGGTATATGTGTGTGTTACCTAAAATTATTTTTATAGAGAAATCTTCAGATTAAATGTTGTTAATAGTTACTTTATAAATGCACATTTTTTAAATAAGTAGAAATTCAAATTAAATGTACAACTTCAAAAATTATAGTAATTTTGTGTTCTACACATTGTATGCTAATTTTATAATTTTTAATTTAAAAATTAGAAGTATTTGCTCCTAAGCAGTTAGTCTAAAAAGTAATTTAACATGCTCATTTTATTTTGTTTTCTTTATAAGTTCATTGTCTATATTCAGTAAAATCATTTTCATATATGTAATTGTTATAAAGCAGAAAGATCATTATCTGATGTGATGTTCTCTTTTCAATCTAGTTTTATTGTCCATATGTTCTCTACTTTGTGATCCTAATCCAGATGACCCCTTAGTACCAGATATTGCACAAATCTATAAATCAGACAAAGAAAAGTAAGTGTTTACTTATATTAGTTTCTGTGTGGGTGTTCTGCCAAAACATACATATTATCAAAATATTTAAGTACATTTAATTGTGTTTATTATACTTATACTAAGTTTGCTTATCTTTCCACTGGAAGAAATCTTTCTTTTTAAACTTTATTAGTCTTTTTTACAAAAGATATTATTCCTTCCCACATAGTGTTTAGTCCTTTACTATTTAATAGTACATGTTCTGCATTTGCATAATATATCTGTTTTTTGATAGGAAAGAACTAGATATATAGTTCTAAGTAGTAAATTTAAAATAAAAGAATTTGATAATTGGAAGCCTTGAATATTGTATTCCTTATCTTCTCCCAGGAAGAGAACTTTTCCCTAACCCCCTCCAAACTGACCTAATTTTCAAGCTGCTTCATCTTGCTGGTACCATTGATTTATTTGTAGGTTACAGATAACGCCCATTCAGGGCACTTTTATAGATTTCTGTTAGAAATTGATTTCCTATTTTGTTGTTTGTAATTTAGGCATGTTTTTATATTGGTTATAGAGAAATCCATCAGTTAAAACATCACTTGTTTTCTGTTTTATTTAATATATGAGCCTAAGTCACATTGACCCAATAATTGGCATATGAATGATTATTGCAGTTAAGTATAAAAAGGTAGAGTATACAGTTTTATATAAATAGGTCTTCTAAAAGATTAAATTTGTATGTTTTTACTATATCCCTTTTGTATGCCTACAGATACAACAGACATGCAAGAGAATGGACTCAGAAATATGCAATGTAAAATAAAAAAATATTTCATATATACCAGAGTACTGTAAAATCTAGGTTTTTTTCAACATTAGCAGTAAATTGAGCACTGTTTACTGTTTCATTGTACCATGAAATCCTTTGATTTTTACCCATTTTACATGTATTTCTGAAGCAAGACAAAACAAACTTCCAAAAATACCCTTAAGACTGTGATGAGAGCATTTGTCATTTTGTATGCATTGAGAAAGACATTTATTATGGTTTTTAAGATACTTGGACATCTGTATCTTCAGCTTACAAGATCTGCAATGCATCTGAAAAGTAACCAAATTATTTTTTGCTGAAACTAGATGTTTTTACATGAGAAATACTGTATGTGTTGTCTAAGATGTCACCATTTTTATAAATCTGTATTCAGATTTCATTCTTTGTTAGCTCACTTTATAATTTGTATTTTTTTACTGTATAGACTAAATATATTCTATTTACATGTATGTCAACTCATTACCTTTTTCCTGTGAACAGTATTGAAAAAATGCAACAGCTGGTAATTAAGTGAATTAACTGTCTCCCTTGTCTTAGGGTATTCGGTAGATTGATTGCAGATTTCTTAAACCTGAAAGGATCTTTACACTGTAATTCTCAGTATCCTGATTATGGAGAAACACTTGTTTTGATTTTGTTATACTTGACTTAACTTTATTGCAATGTGAATTAATTGCACTGCTAAGTAGGAAGATGTGTAACTTTTATTTGTTGCTATTCACATTTGAGTTTTTTTTCTGTATAGGCAATATTATATTGACACCTTTTACAGATATTAATGTAGCTTTTTCCATATAAATAAAATGCTTTTTCTACTATTTGTCTTGATTACTTAAAGAAATAAATTATTATAAGTAAGGATCAAAACTATAAAATTTCGCATGAAAATTAATTCCAAATTGTGAGAATGAGTTGTATTTGGCATTCACTGCCATTAATTATATAAATTTTATTGCTTTAGGTTTGTATCTGTTTACTGTATTATCAGTCTAGAGAATGATACACATTGGACCCTTGTTATAGAAGAGAATTTAGAGTAAGTTGAGGTTTGTCTTGGATCACATTTTAAGTGGATCATTTACTAAAGTACTGTGATGAGTATAAGGCAGTGTCACCCACACTGAAGAAAGTATTGACCTGAAAAATAGTTTAACTATTAAAATGCCCCTCTAGGTGGAATGGACATTGTATTTCTTAACATTTTAAAATCTAGAATTTTCAAAATAGTAGTTTAGTGCCATCACAGTTTGAAAGAGGGCATCCATTTTTTTACTACAGATGTTATAAAGAAAATTCGAAAATGATGCTTTCCTCTGTTTTTATAAATTTCCAGTTAAAACTGATTTAAATAAGCAGGTTATCTTTGCAGATTTTAAAGAAAGCTAGAAAGTTCTAACTTGGAAAAAAAAATACATTTCTAATTATTTAGCATGCTTACCAAACTTGAGTGAGTGTCATTTTTAAGAAGAGTTGTAGCTCTTTGGATTATTGCAGTAGCTGTATATAAGTGTGCAAGAATCTGTGATGGATGTAGTCGTTAGTAAAGCATTTAAATCACTTCAGTATTTTACCATGGATCATTACCATTAAAGCACAAAATAACCCGTTGTTAGAAAATGTGTTTTTATAAGTGAATGTAAAAATAAATAAATGAATTGTGAAATGGATGTTTAAGAAAATATAGGTTTAAAAAGTAACTATATTAAGTAACGTCTTGAAACAAACATATCATGAAAAACACTGCTTTACTAGGTATATGATTATAAGCTACATTCACCCAGAATTTACACTCAACTTCATTAAAGTATTTAGTCTATTTTGATAGTAAAGGATTTTGTTTCTTGAATATCTTTCACTTTTTTTAAAACTTTGATTTGTGTGGCATTTATTTTTGGAAGTGTCCTTTTTTTTTTTCTTTATTAAAGGTTTTGAAATTCGCCTAATTCTTGTTTGCCTTTGCTTACATCTCAATTGTACAACCAGACTCCAGAGGAGTGAGCGCAGTTTCTCATAATTAAATAAAAACCTTAAGAGCTCAACAGTGGCATAATGATTAACCAAGTCACCATTTTAGTTATGTCGTGTTTTGCTAAATTCTGACAAGGATATATCAGTTACCTTGTACAACTGTAAGTCCGAAGTCAGGGGCCTTCCTCCATAAGTAACCATTAATTTAGGGACCCCTGGAATGAGGAAAATGGGTAGTCTTTTGGAGATTTAGGATCATACCTCTTGAAGTCCTGGATGTTTCAAGACCGTTACAAACCATATTCAAGTTGAATTCTGGACACTAGTAACTGTCACATACAGTTAAGTCAGAGATACAAGTTGTAAAGGCAACCTCACCCTCATCTCCCATATTTGCATATGATTCTTGAAGTACAGGCTTTACACCTGCCTATGTAAACCATATATAATTATTCATTTTTGCTTTAAGTCATCCCCCTTGCCCCCTTGTCCTTAAACTGTTTAGGGAAAATTTAAAATTTATTTTGTAGATCAACTACTTATCAATTGCAAAGGATCATAAGGTATCAAATGAGAAACACAAACACAGAGCACAAGGGCAACCTTAAGAGTTAATATTCAAGAGTAACTTTTAAAAAAACTTGATAAAAATACCACATGTAGTTTTTCATTTCTTTTATCACTTTATTTCAGTGATCAGTTTATCTCTGTACACGATTCAGCCATTGATGTTTTGCAGGATCCTGCTCTCACAGTTCTGTATTTTTAAGATGGAAAAATTGGGGAAATTAATTTTCCTCTCAGATTAAAAGAGATTCTTGGTTGTGAAACTATTAATATCATGTTTATTTGTTGGTAGTCAATTTGAATTGGACTCAAAGTCCAGTTCAGTCAATGATGTTCTGAGTTCTGCTGTAGAATCATTAGTCCTGTTACTAGGACCAGCCATGGAAAATGTGATCAATGCTTTAGCCATGGCCATATAAATAGAGCTTCAGTATATTCAAATTGTTGGATTTGGTCTGTTATACAAGAGTATTGTTTATCTTTTTAGTTTAAATCTTTTTTTTTTTTTTTTAAAGATTTTATTTATTTGACAGAGAGAGACACAGCGAGAGAGAGAACACAAGCAGGGGGAGTGGGAGAGGGAGAAGCAGGCTTCCCACGGATCAGGGAGCCCGATGCGGGGCTCGATCCCAGGACCCTGGGATCATGACCTGAGCCGAAGGCAGACGCTTAATGACTGAGCCACCCGGGCACCCCTTTAGTTTAAATCTTTTAAGTGATTATCAGTGTAATAAAATAATAACAAACCTGATAGAAGTTCAGTTTTATCACTCATCAACTGTGTACTAGGACTTTCAAAAATTTTTTCCTTAAAACGGGTTTAAATACAATTCATTAGCCCTAAAGTGTAATGCACGTCATTTGTGAAAGTTCTCATTTCTTTAATAGTGCTTCTCTTACTGTTCTAATAGTTGTACAGATAAGAGAAGATTCATCTAATTAACATTTCAGACACCAGTTTTCAGTCTTATTTTTTGACCCAGGGTTTTCTGGGTGCTGTATAGCAGTTAGCAAACTAGGCTGTGGTAAAGCATTTGTGGTTATAATTCTTGCTGGTTGTTTGATATAATTACAGTATTTTATTTTCTGTATACTGAGAAATTTATATACTGAATAGAAGGAGTGTCTTATTCACTATTTGGCTTTTTATCATTTTATTTGATGTGTAAAACATCTTCCTGTATTAGCAAGCAATGCCTATCGCAGTGCTATGCTAATCACCTTATTAAATAGCCTGTGGTATCATTTAGTGTCTAGATTTGTTCAGGAATCAAGTAAATGATTCAACAGTTTTTACTGAAAATAGGTTTATTTTCCTTTTTCTGAAAAAGTATCAAGTGTAGTATCTGTTCTTATCAGTTTAATTTCACTTGTAAAACTTGCTATGTATGGATAATTAGTCATTTCTACTTTTTTTTTTTCCTGTACTGGGTGATGTTGGCAAACTCTTCTTAAACAGTTGATATGCTTTCACCAGGAGTTTTTTCAGTAATAGTGATAATTAAAAATTTGCAGACAGCTGATGTTTTTGGTTGTAGAAATAATCTGTAATGTAAAAGTATGTTCATGACAATAGCATTATATCACTTATTTGTATTATAATACATTTAAACTGCTGCTGCCATTGTCCTGTTACATATAAGAAGGTGGTTTTAAATTGTAAATGATTTGAACTAATAGAAAGAGGGAATATTCACCTAAAAATATTAGCATTTGGAGGCATTTTTGTATAATAAGATACATTTCTTTAAAAGCTTATTTTAGCACTCTATTAGGTTCTACTGTAGAGGAAGGGATGTGCCTTTCTTAGCTCAGGAGGAAGCTGCTTTTATTATGCTGGCAAATGTATAAGATCTGAGCTACGCTTTCCCCATATAATTTGTTTGTGTGAAGATCTCTTTAGTTCAAATGATCACTATGGGTTGTGTATGAAATACAGTATTGTAAACTCTTAAGATACATATTGTGGGGACCAGTTGTGACACCGCTTGTGTTGGCACTTCTGACCCACTCATTTTTTTAAGATTTTATTTTAGAAAGAACGTGAATGGGGGGAGGGGCAGAGGGACAGGGAGAGAACCTCAAGCAGACTTTGTGCTGAGCATGGAGCCCAATGCGGGGTTCCATCCCATGACCCTGAGATCATGACCTGAGCCAAAAACAAGAGTCAGACATTCAACCCACTGAGCCACCCAGGTGCCCCCCCAATCCACTCATTTTAACAGCCTACAACCACCCATACATTCAGTGTGTGAAGACGATTCATAAGACTAAGCATTTGGTCATACTCATAGCTAAGATTTATTATAGTGACACAGCAAAGATACACAGCTGGATCAGAAAGGAAAAGACTAGAGGAATTAGTCTAGAGTCTAGAGGAACCCATGTTCAGGCTTCCTATGCTGTTCTTGAAGGAGCTACACAGAGTGTACTCCAACAGTGAAATGCATTAACATGGGCACAGTATTTCTGCCCAGGGAAGCCTGTTTAAAAAGCCCAGGGTTTTTATTGGGTGCTAAATCATGTAGGCACCCTTTGCCCACCAAAATTCCAATTTCCCAGAAGAAGAGCAGGTGTTTACCGTAAATCACGTGGTTTTTAAAGCAGTCTGGTCAGGCTAGCACAACCAGTACAATCTTATCAAATAAAGAAAATTTCAAAAGCTAAGTTTCTAGATGCCAGCTGAGGGCCAACCTTGTAAACAAGCCCTTCTAAAGATTAGACCTACACCATTTGTTGAGAAGACTATTCTTTCCCTTGGAATGGTCATGGTATCCTTGAAAATCAGCTGAACATAGAGGCTTATTGCTGGACTCATTGACCTACATGCCTATGTTAATTCCATAATATATTGATCCCTGTAGCTTTGTTGTAACTTCTGAAATCAGGAAGTATGGGTCTTCCAGATTCATTATTTTGTGATAGTGTTTTGACTCTCCATGTCCCTTGTGATTCCATATGCATCTTAGGATCAGCTTTTCCATTTTTTCTGCTGAAATTTTAATTGGGATTGTATTGAACCCATAGAGCAATTTTGGTAAAGACATCTTTTGTTCTGGTTATCTATTGCTGAACGACAAATCACCCCAAACTAAATAGTGTAAAAGAAAAACCTTTTTTTATTACGCTCCTAGATTCTGTTGGATACAGAATTGGGATGGGGCACAGTAGGGATGTTTATCTATTCCATGATACTTAGAGGCTTCAGCTGGGAGTGAGGGGTCTGGGAGCTTAAATCATTAGCAGGCTTCTTCACTCAGATGTGCCACTTATTAAAAATCTATGTGACTTGAGCTTCTCGCAACATGGTAGCTCAGTTCTAAGAGGGAGCATCTGGGGGCAAGTGTTCTAAGAGAAAAGGAGAAAGCTCCATGACCTTTTATGATTTCACCTTAAGTTACATAGTGTCACTTTGGTAGTTTACTGGTTGAAGCAGTCATAAGCCCTTTCAAAGGGAAGAGGACATAGACTCCCACCTTTCCATGAGAAAATTTGGGGTCACCACCAAATTCATCTTACGAATTCATTCATGAATTCCTCCATTTCATGTATATATATATATATATATATGTATATGTATACATGAATTCCTCCATTTCATATATATATATATATACACACACATGAATCAGAAAGGAATATATATATATATTCAGTATATTCAGTATGTATATATATATAGTCAGTAGGTATATACTGATTGTTTTGTAGTGTTCTGTGTAGAGGTCTTGCATATTTTTCATTGTTTTATTCCTAGGTATCTAATTTTTAAAATGTATTAGAAAGTTTTTTTCATCTCATTTTCTGTTCTTACTGTGTAGAAATCAATTTATAATATTTGCTTTGTATCCTGCAGCCTTACTAAATTGACTTTTTAATGGTTTGTAGAATTTTAAGGTTTTCTACAATTATAATTATGTAACCTGTGAATAATGATAACTTCCTCATTTCCAATATATATCCCTATTATTTCCTTTTCTTTCCTTGTTGCATTAGCTATGACCTCCAGTATTATGTTGAATAAAAAATAGTGATAGCAAGTGTCCTTTCTTGTTTCTGAAGGAATGCTTTCATTTTTCAATATTAAGTATGGTGTTTATTACTAAGTTCCCTTCTATTCCTAATTGAGCATTTTTATCACTGTTGAGTTACATGTTAAATTTCATTGAATACTTTTTCTACATCAATCAAGATTATTATTGTGTTTTAATCCTTTTTTTTCTATTAATGTAGCATGAATTATATTAACTGATATTCAGATGTTAAATTATCTCTACATTTCTGGACTGAACCCCCTTTGAGATGCACTATCCTCTTTCACAATCACTAACTTCTCAGGGAGAGCTAAGATGGTGGCATAGGAGAAGGATGCTAGGCTTGACTCATCCTCAAACACAACTAGATAACTATCAAATCATTCTGAATACCCAAGAAATTGACCTGAGGACTGACAGAACAAACTGCACAACTAGAGGAAAAGAAGAGGCCACATGGAGGAAGGTAGGAAGTGCAGAGATGTGGTTTGGAGTAGAAATGGATCGAAGGGTTCTGCAGAGGGGAGGGAGCCCTGGTCAAGGAGAAAGGTGAGAGAGAGAGTGGAGTGCACAGGGATATGCACACAGAGAACACTTCTCCAAAGCCATTGGCTGGGGGAAAGACAGGGGCTGATTTTTGTGAGTTTTTGCAACCAGCTGGGCTCAAAGACTGAAGTTTCAGATGTCAGCAGGCGTGGCTGAGATAGAGCCCTGAGGGCGCTGCCCTGTTTCTGAAGAGAAGGCATGCAAGCAACTCCAGGGCAGATGGCATGATCTGAGGCTTGCCTAAGGTGCACAGGGAATATTCACTCTTTTTGGAGTGCATCTATGAGGTGGCGTTCACAGAAATGTTTCTTCTGGGACAAAAGAGCCAGCAGGCACCATATCCCTCTCCTGCCCCTCAGCATAGGTGCAGAGACACCTGCTGAGGGTTGCTAACCCAGACACTGGCTGTTCAGCCTGCTTTGCTCCAAATACCATGACCCTGCACTCTGGTGCCACTGCCCTCAATTGGTCAAACCTGCATCAGTCCCAGTGCAGCGAGACCCTCCCCCAGAAGACTAGCACAGATTCGCCTGCCACACCAGGTGCCTAAAGCCTGGAGTTTTCAAAGCAGGCTTGGCTGGAATAGAGCCCAAAGTGCACTGTGCTAATCTAGGCAGACAAGCAACCAATAGACAACGTGAAAACAGTGATTGAGAAATACTTGGGACACACAAGGGGAAATTATTCGCTCTTCCCTGAGACCAGCAAGCACAAGGTCCCTCCTCTGAGACAAAGGAGCTGGCTGCTGCCATTTCCCTCCCCTGCTCCTCAGCATAAACCAACTTCAGTAAACAGCATAGCACCAACACTGGTTGCCTAACCTTATACCAAGTCCCATCCCCCTCTGCTCTCCTGACACTGCTTTTCTCAGGCAAGTGTGTCTAAGGAGCAGTGCACTGGACCTCTTCTCCAAAAGACTAGCACAAACCCTTGCACGAACCTCATCTACAAACCATAGAGTTCTGCGAGGTTTCAGTTCTAGTGGAAGTAGCATCAGGTCTCATTTAATAAGCAGACCAGAGCACACCCAGTTAAAACTTACCACACTCTAGCCAAGAACCAAAAACTGCCCACCCCAGGCAAGGAGAACCTCTGCAGATGACTGACCTGATGGGTAGAGCAGCCAAAACACAACTGAGCGCACACAGCAGATACCAGAGACACTCCCTGATGCACCAAGCTCTGGTTACTCTATGACCTTTTCTTCATAAAGCCATTACATTCAGGAAAAGGAAACATAACAAGCTTTTCTAACAGACAGAAGAAGACAGAGATCTATACAAAATGCTGAAATGGAGGAATTCATCCCAAAAGAAAGAACAAGAAAAGGTCTTGGCCAGAGATCTAATCAAAACAGATATAAGTAATATGCCTGATGGAAAATTTAAAGCAACAATCATAAGGATACTTGCTGGGCTTGAGAAAAGCATGGAAGACATCAGAGATAAAAGAGTTAAAAACAACTAAGCAGAAATAAAAAATGCAATAACTGAGATTTGAAATAGACTGGATGTAATGACCACAAGCATGGAAGAAGCAGAGAGGAATGAATAAGTGATATAGAAGATAGAATTATGGGAAATAATGAAGCTGAACAAAAGAGAGAAAGAAGAATGATGGATCATGAGAATAGACAAAGGGAACTCTGACTCCATCAAATGTAATAACATCAGTATCATAGGAGTCCTAGAAGAAAAAAAGAAAAGAAAAGGAGGCAGAAGGTTTATTGAAGGAAATAATAGCGGAAAACATCACTAAACTGGGGAAGGAAACAGACATCCAAATCCAGGAGGCATAGAGAACTCCCAACAAAATCAACAAAAGCAGGCTGACACCAAGACATATTGTACTTAAATTTGCAAAATATAGTGATAAAGAAAAAATCCTAAAAGCAGCAAAACAAAAGAAGTCCCTAACTTGCAAGGGAAGACCATAAGGCTAGTTGCAGATTTATTCACAGAAACTAGGCAAGCCAGGGGCACCTGTGTGGCTCAGTCGTTAAGCATCTGCCTTCAGCTCAGGTCATGATCCCAGGATCCTGGGATCAAGCCCCGCGTCAGGCTCCCCACTCAGCAGGAAGCCTGCTTCGTCCTCTCCTACTCCCCCTGCTTCTCCCTCTCCTACTCCCTCTCTTGCTGTCTCTCTGTCAAATAAAATAAATAAAATCTTAAAAAAAAAAAAAAGAAGAAACTAGGCAAGCCAAAAGGGAGTGGCATTATAGATAGATGATGGTTGATAGATAGATAGAATATTTATATATTGAATATATAAATATATTCAATGTGTTGAATGGGGGGAAATCTGCAGCCAAGAATACTCTATCCAGCAAGGCTATCATGCAGAATACAAACAAAGATAAAGAGTTTCCCAGACATGGGGTGCCTGGGTGACTCAGTTAAGTGTCTGCCTTCAGCTCAGGTCATGACCCCAGGGTCCTGGGACTGAGCCCTGTCGGGCTCCCTGCTCAGTGAGGACCTGCTTCTCCCTCTCCCTCTGTCCCTGCCCCCAGCTCATGCTCTCTCTCTCACTCTCTCTCAATTAAATAAATAAAATCTTTAAAAAAAGGACAAAAACTAAAGGCATTCATGACCAATAAATGAGTCCTGCAAGAAATATTAAAGGGGACCACTGGGAAGGAAAGACCAAAAGTGACAAACTTTATTTTTCTGGAGAAAATCTTCAGAAACAATGACAAAACAAGTAATAAAATGGCACTAAATACAAATCTATCAATAATTACTCTAAATGTAAATGGACTAGCTGCTCAAATCAAAACACACAGGATTGGATTAAAAACAAGACGCATCTATATGCTGCCTACAAGAGACTCATTTTAGACCTAAAGACATCTGAAGATTGAAAGTGAGGGGATGGAGAACCATCTATCATGCTAATGGACATCAAAAGAAAGCCAGAGTAGACATACTTATATCAGACAAACTAGATTTTAAACCAAAGACTGTAACAAGAGATGAAGAAAGACATGATATCATAATAAAGGGAACTATCCATCAAGAAGAGCAAACAATTGTAAATATTTAGGCTCCCAATTTGGGAATACCCAAACATGTAAAAGAATTAACAAACATAAAGGAACTCGCTGATAATAATACAATAATAGTAGGGGACTTTAACACCCCACTTACAACAATGGACAGATCATCTAAGCAGAAAATCAATAAGGAAACAATGGCTTTGAATGACATACTGGACCGGATGGACTTAACAGATAAATTGAGAACATTTCATCTTAATGCAACAGAATATACATTCTTTTCAAGTGCACATGGGACATTCTGCAGAAGAGATCACATACCAGATCACAAATCAGGCCTCAATAAGTACCAAAAGATTGGGATCATACCATGCATATTTCCTGACCACAATGATATGAAACTTGAAGTCAACCACAAGAAAAAATTTGGAAAGACCACAAATACATGGAGGTTAAACAACATGCTACTAAAGATTGGTTAACCAGGAACTCAAAGAAGAAATTAAAAAAATACATGGACACCAATGAAAATGAAACCACGATCGTCCAAAATCTTTGGGATGCAGCAAAAGCAGTCCTAAGAGGGAAGTATATAGCAATACAGGCCTACCCCAAGAAGCAAGAAAAATCTCAAGTAAACAACCTAACCTTATGCCTAAAAGAGATAGAAAAAGAACAATAAATGAAGCCAAAAGCCAGCAGAAGAAGGGAAATAATAAAGATTAGAGCAGAAATAAATGATATAGAAACTAAAAAAACAGTAGAATAGATCAATGAAACCAGGAGCTGATTCTTTGAAAAAATTAATAAAATTGATAAACCCTTAGCCATACTTATCAAAAAGAAAAGAGAAAGGACCCAAATAAATAAAATCACAAATGAGAGGGAGAAAAAACAGCCAACACCACAGAAATACAATGATAAGAGAATACTATGAAAAATTATATGCCAACAAATTGGACAATCTGGAAGAAATGGATAAATTTCTAGAAGCATATAAGCTACCAAACTGAAACAGGAAGAACTAGAGAACTTGAACAGACTGATAACCAGCAAAGAAATTGAATCAATAATCAAAAGTCTCCCAACAGCGCCTGGGTGGCTCAGTTGGTTAAGCATCGGAATCTTGATTTTGGCTCAGGTCATGATCTTGGGGTCATGGGATTGAGCCCTGTCTTGGGCTCTGTGCTCAGCAGGGAGTCTGCTTCTCTCCCTCTGCCCCACCCCCCACTCACTCTCCTTCTCTCTAAAAATGAACACATAAAATTTAAAAAAAAATCTCCCAACAACCAAAAGTCCAAGTCCAGAGGACTTCACAGGGTAATTTTATCAAACATATAAAGAAGAATTAATACCTATTCTTCTCAAACTATTCCAAAAAATAGAAATTGAAAGAAAACTTCCAAACTCTTTCTATGAGGCCAGCATTACCCTGATTCCAAAATGAGACAAAGACTCCACTAAAAAAAGA